ACCCATCCGTTCGCCCCCTCTTCGGGACACTGCGAGGACCGCGAGGGACTAGACGAGGAACATATTCTTCATATACATCAACAAATCCGGAAGAAACCCCAGGAAGGGCGGTAGAGGTTTGGGACTTACTAATTGCAGAAGTTCCAGCAAGTCTATCCCTAGTCTCCGCCACGGCGAGGAAAACATCAGGAGAGACCGGGTCGACAAAGTTCCGCCCAAGCTCCTGCGAAAAAGGATAAAACACCGAGACAAAGAAAAGCTAAGCAAGAACGGATGCAGCTAAAGTGCATAAAGTACTCAAACAAAAAGAGAGACAACTCACAGCTGGGGGCGGGTTGTTGGCTAAGAACTCGGTGACACAGGGAGGAATGACGCCACTCCTTTCAAAGATCTTCGAGACGCTCGAGTACCTCCTCACCGTTAGCTCAAGAGCTGGGACCATGCGTGAAGGATCCTCGGCCCCGAGAATACTCAAAGCCAAGATGCTCCCACTCTTTCAAAGGTGAACCCGCGACGAAGAAAGCTCAAACAATACCAAAGCCGGTCAAACCTCATTGTTTCAAAGATGCTAATCCTATCAAGGAGTGGTTGAATCACTTGAATCTCAAAGAAGCGATTCAAGCTTGTCCCATCGGTCATTCACCACAGACCAGATCCGGGATGAATGGCAAGGAAGGATCAAATTGGCGGCAGAAACCACTCGCACGCGCCAATCTTTTACAGAATCGACCAGGTCATAGTCAAAAACTTAATTTTGAGACCTCACGAAACCGAATCCATAACCGCCAAGAACGCTGGTTTCTTCACGGCGGGGTTGAGGTTTCAGACGAAAGAAAAAGCGAAAAAGAGACAGAGAAGGAGGGATTCTAAGGAAAGCTTCGCAAAGATGAACAAAAACAGAAAGATGGAGAATGGCATTGGGGGTTAGGTGGTTCAGACTAATCCCGAAATAACCAAGAAACTGATGAAGGAAAGCGGAAGCAGGAAGGCAAAATCCAGCGCGGACAAAGGAAACGAAGAGGACAATCTCACCAGGACCCGGAGCTAGAACCCGATGCTCGCCCGGAACTCTCCATTCAGCGATGACTTTGCTTTGAATCAAGCCATCGCTAACGAGCTCGTGCAGCTGGTCTTCGCTTGTTGTTGGAGCCGGCCAAACCTTCTGAGCAGCCCTCATAGCCACGAACTCCTGGTTTTCGATCAAAGAAAGGGATGACTCCTCGTCAACGAAGGTCGCCTGAGACTTGCTTGTGGTTTTCTTCTTTCCCATGAACTGGCGGAAGCAAAAGAGGCGCTAAGGAAAATGTAGGATGATGGTGCTCGGGTTACGGCGACGGTGACGGCGGCGGATTTCTGAAAGCTAGGGTTTAAAGGCAAGAGTTGGGCAGCAAGGGTCTTTAAATAGATTTCTCAGCGATACAAACGGCCCACAAGGCCCGATAAAACACAGTGTGGGAACACGACGGTCCATTTACCGACGCAGCTAAAATGATGGAGGGCACAGATCCACACAACAGTACAAACCAATGGGCAGACTTCAGACTTATCCGTCCGGCACCACGGCAGGGGTATCAGATCGCTACAAGAACAACTCGTCAAAACAAGAAGAAAGAAAAGGCTACCTCACAAGGAACAAAAGAACCCGGTTATTTGAGAAAGAACCCGGTAATCTCATGGACAACAGGGATCGCAACATAAAAGTAAAAGACAACTCAGAAGACAAGATTCGTTACATTACAAGCGACTTCAAAAACAGAAGGTTACAAATCTTAAAGACAAGATTCGTTACATTACAAGCGACTTCAAAAATAGAAGATTACAAATCTTACAAGACCCAATGAACTCGGCACCACGAAAAGCAAGGTAGCAAAGAAGAACGCGAACACGGCTAGGCTCTGGAACGACTACGTGTCCCAAATTGCTACTCGGAAGGACAAATCGCCATCAGCTACACTGTTTTCTTCAAAGGAAGGACGCAGTGCACTCAAGGCGAAAATCGGCAGCACGGCAGGACAACATGGAGCAGAGAAGGCCGGCGGGCATCTGTCTACCCAAGACCGATGTGATACTGCATATGGTGTTGATCTGCACCGGACAGTCTCAAGACAGGCGACGAGGATCAACCCAGAACTGCCAGATGAAGAAACGAAGCCCACATCACAAGACTTCCTCCAACTACCACCACATACATCCTAGAACAATGCTGTCGCGGGATTAGCCTACCTCTAATCCCTATCACAAGACTTCCTCCAGCTACGACAAGACACATAGGAACTACAAAATATGCCCGGGGGCTGCTCTACTTCACAAACTACCATGTTCATGACCACGAAGGTTTCAATGGAATATCCAATAGGTGAAAGCAAGCGCTCTGAGACAGTATTTATAGACCAAAGGAGCGGCGCACATGGACCAGGAGTACCAATGAAATAAGCCTAAGAAAGGGCACAGTGAAAGGACATGACTCAATGATGGATGACTCAGGAGAGAGAAAACAATACTCGAAGACGGGCATATTCGGAAGAATATACCAGCACAGTACAACCCGTGAACAAAAGACATTTACACTCAACCACCACCATACAACTACATCTGACAGCAGCAGATTATCAAAGAGTACGCCAAGACCTCCCATCCGAGTTCTTCCTGAACAAAACAACACGGATATACGCTCGGGGGCTCAGAACCAAAGACAAAAGACAAAAAGTACAAGAAACTCAAGACTACAACGACGACGACGCATCAAGACTCTTCATCCGACTTCTTTTCCAAAAGAAAAGAACTCGGAGAAAGCACGAGGCTGCGGGATACATAGCCCCATAATTTTTTGAAGACAGGAATCTGGACCCTCCAACTTTTGCAAGCAAAAGCAAGAGGCTCGGGGGCTACACTCAGTGAGTGCAATTTTTATGAAAAATTGCACCCACCAAAAAAGAACCCGGACATAGGCTCGGAGGCTGCACGCCGCGAAACTACTCGGATGATGGTTTAAATCCAAGACTAAAGGGCCGCTTCGGAAAGATACCACAGAAACTACTCGGATGATGGTCTAATCCAAGACTAAAGGGCCGCTTCGGAAAGATAACACAAAAATTACTCGGATGATGACAAAATTCAAGTCTCGGGGACTACTTCAGAACACAGATTTTCAAACAACATAAAGGATCAAGACCCTTCAACTTTTTGTTCCAAATAGCAAGAGGCTCGGGGGCTACACTCAGTGAATGCACTTTTTCTTCAAAAAAGCGCACGTCACCAAAAGACTTCCTCAACGCAGACCACTTCAAGACATTGCGACAAAAAGAACCCGGAACGAGCCATATTCGAGTTCTTTTTTACAAAACTTCAGCGAACAATCAGAACAACTTCAAGAAAAGATCCTCCAGCTCCTTGTTCCAAATAGCAAGAGGCTCGGGGGCTACAACCAGATGGATGTACTTTTTCTTCACAAAACACTCACCACTCGAAGGTCCCAAGAAGCGCTACAAGGTTTCACTCCAGAAAGCACTCGGATAACATTTTGTTCCTACCTAACAAGACCTGAAGGAGCAAAGCGAGACTTTCAGAGCTCAACCATGAAGTGCTCGGGGGCTTGTCGATGCGGGACCCACAGGATACCCCGCAAGAGAGATAAAAGATCTAGTTCAACTAGGATTCTTCCCATGTAATCTTAATAGTAGAACTATTAAGTAATCCTACTAGAAAATCTCATTGTAAACCGACTAGGACTCTGGCCTCCTGACAATATAAAGGAGGGCAGGGCTCCTAAAAGGGAGAACAATGGTACAACATAACACTTCATAATCAATCCAACGCAAAGGCAAACACCGACTGGACGTAGGGTCGTTACTCGATCTACGATCGAGGGCCTGAACCAGGATAAATCGATTGTCTCTTGCGTTTACCATCGAGTTCAGCATACGCCGAAGCCCGAACAACACTGCCCCGAGTACCCCCGAGGCAGGCTATCAGTGGTGAAACACCGACACTGATTAAGGATAATAAAGTGAACTGAACAAGTATTATTAAGTAATTAGAAAGCAATGTTTGATGATTTGTGGAATGTTATTAGGATGTGCAAGTCTTTGTCTTTTGATCTGTATGGGAGTTGTGTTTCTTGACGTGTTTCCCTCTTTATCTGTGTCCTCTATGTTTTTGTTATATGTGCTCCGTTGTGCTTACCATTTCTGTTGTAACACACCATTAATGAGAATTGAGAAGCTCAAGTCAGCCACACACCTACAGTGGTATTCTCGAAAGAAAATATTTAAAAGAGAGTGGCTATGACTCTTGGCATTTTATGCTCCAAAAAATTTCAACATTCATGCATATCCTACATTTCAATGTAAGAATTTTGCGTAATTCCAAACATTTAGAAAGAAAAGAAGTGCCCTTCAAAATCTAGTGTAATTCCAAACAGAGTCCACAGTTGAAATATTAGTTGGTACACCACAACAATGCCCAGGATGGTAAGACACAGGCGACACCAGATAGTAATTTGGGTTTATTTGAGTTACAAAATATAAGCATTGAAGCTCCAGTAACTATCTTGCATCACATGTACCTGCAAGGCCGGACATGAAAAAGAGAGAGGAAAGGACAGTACTCTAAATATTAGAGATAGAGTTGTAGTCTAACTTGACTTATACTCCCTCCCTCCCCCTCTCTCCTCCTCAAAGGGTGTGAGGTGATTTCCCCAATTCTACACTAAAAATCTATCAGCTCACCAATACACATATGAGCATGATCTCAAATGCACAGGCACAAAGTGATAAAGCTAAAAATAAAACTCTATGAACTAGGGAAAAAGCAAATCAGTTTCATCAATGTGCCATCCTCTTGATCTGTTTTAACGTGAGTCAGCAAAGCTAATTTTTTTGTCAATCCACAAGATTCTCCTTCAGGAGTATCACATGGGCAAAGCATCCCCCACTGTTATAGATAAAATTAATGCATTAGAACACAGTTGAAAACCACAATAATCTTATTATGTTCTTGGATTACACCTAAATTTGTGAAACACATAATATCATTTCTTCAGTCACCTGACTAGGCTGCAAGGCACGTGGCCCACTTGTTTTCCTGTTCTTCTCAAACTGCGATGTTATCCGTGTCATGTAGCCTAAAGATGCCATGTAGGATAACCTTGATAGAACCTACACAGAAACAAAAGAATAAAAAATCTCAAAATTGGCAATGGCATAGTGATGTAGGTGTGGGCCCTGTGGGACACCAGCAGCCCAGTAACATCACACAGCATCCACCTCGGCACAGAGATAAGGCGACTTATCTTAGGGACAATGTTTTGTTTCAATCAGTTTTGCTTAGAGACCAAGTTAAGGCAGAGCTAAGATAAGCTAGGGATATAAGGTTGTTTTAGATTTCGCTTGTTAATTAGCTCGATTGTTAGCACCTTGTGTTAGGCAGTCAGTTATATAATGCTAGCCGGATCATTCTTTTAGGCAAGAAAGAAGAAACCTAATAGAAATCTGAGCCTCCAGAGAGAGGGTGACTAGCAGTTTCTTCCTGCAACCCATCTACCTTGTCAATCTATATCACATAGAGGGGAGAACAAAGGTATGAATGAGATGATACCTGTGATACGCCTTTCCTATGCATTCTAAAACGTTTAATATCCCAATTTCCAGTGGAAATAGACCTCTCCAGACCAGTGGTTATTATGTTTTCCTCCCTTATCAACTGCAAAAAAGAGAAAGAAGTTAAATAGCAAAGAGACGATGTCTGTGCATTGTTAAAAGATTTTTCTTCAGAAGTCAATGATAAAACATGCTTCCAATATGATGTGCAGAGCCAAATATGATGTGTCCAGCCCATTAGGGCCCAAGCGATGGAGGAAAGGTGGGTGCCAGACCTCGGGCCGACACACTGTTCATATGGCACCGTGTATTACTATTCATGCCGGGCACAGCGAGGGTTTGTTAAGTTAGAGACTAGATTAGATCAGATTGAGCTGTTGGGTATTTTCTTAATTCTAGAGATTATTAGTCTCTTTAGAGTCAAGTCTTCTCATTTATATAAGGATGGAACTGTATCTCCTTTGGGTTAATAATCAAGAAATAGATCAAGAATTCCTACACCTTCTTTTATCCCAGCCCTTGTGGTGTGGTCACTAGGCATTGGCACAGCCACGCACTAAAGAAATATTTTCTTATGACATACAAGTAAACATGGACATTACAATCAATAGTCAAGTTGTGACCTTAAATTATTAAATTATATAAAAGATCAAGAAGCCATTCTTCGATATTTCATTGTCAAGCATGAATGTGTGGCTTTGGGAAAAGAGCAACCAGCATATGTATCCAACAGACACACAGTTTTTGAAATACATGAAGGCACCAAAGAAGTCCTTAAACCTTCAATGTCAAGTGGCCTTAACAAAGTCTTTCCATTTAAATGATATAAACTTTTTACATCTATGCTTGGCAAGCTTCTAATTGCAGTTTGCCATGGTTATCTCTGCTGCGGAGTAGAGCGTTACCAAATTATTTCCTTTTTTCACTTAGTTTGTTCACCAAGGTGACATGCCAGCAACAACCAATGTATTAAACTGGCAAAACATTGAAAACAAAATAGCATAAAAAGGAGGTATTACATCAATATCTACTATTCACAACTTCCAGGCGAACCTGTCACATGATTACAACATTGCAGTAACAAGCATCAAAAATTTGTATTTGTATAGAATGAACAACCACAAATATGCACTTGTTTTTCATACCTGGCTAAAATCCAAAGCACTGGAATGGGTCTTTCCACTAGTTTTGTACATACGCTCCACAACGTGAGAATTCATTGTTTTGAATAAGTCCTACAAAAAACACAATAAGAAACATAAAACACAACAAATCTGACGAAATTACAAGACAAAATATGACACCTCAAAAAGAAGGGAAATTAGTTGACCAGGTAGCTCCAATCGCTTATTCCCAACGTAATCCTGGGAGATGTTAAAGAAAAGATGTAAACTGGGCGGTAAACATAAAGAAATCAGTACTCTTTTTGCACAAGATATTCCAGGACAAACTTCATCATTATGAAGCCATGTTCGATAAGAAACATTCTCATATAAATAATGATAATGTTTAAGGTATATTTTGTTTCAGTTATTTAAACACTTCGATTATATTGCACTTATCAGTTATCAGTATGCATTGTAATATAGACAACCCTAAACCACATACCCCCATAATCATAGAGAGATAAAAGACATAACACTCAAACATATGCTGCACAAGGCCAACCACTGATTAAGCACCTAAACAGTTAGTGGGAAAGCCAGGTTGGAGCATTGAATTTTTTTTTCTGCTTGTTTTATTCTAATCACAACTCCGCCTATGTTGTCTCAACATAGCAGGTCCCAAGCCCTGGTAAAGGAGGAGGGTTGTGATAGGCGTGGCGAGCCAACGTTAAATCTAGCCATTCTAATGGAGATGAAACCCGAAAGAAAATCGTTGGGGCGTAACCCTCTTAGCGACGCGCCATATCGGAACCCGGGTATGGTGTTAAATGAGCAAGGGCCGGGTCATCACCCCCGTGACGTGCCGTGTCGCGATCTAGGCACGGTGTCAAGTGATCAAGGATCGGATCGTCGCATCCTTAGTGGCGTGCTACATCGGCGCCCGGGTGTAGTGAAAAATGAGCAAGGGTCTTCACATCTGATTCGACGGGTGCGAAGGGTAAGGAAGCTAGTCGAACCAACTAGGATCTGTTTAGGCAGTTAGAATGTAGGGTCACTTACAGGTAAGTTAAGAGAATTAGTTGATACCGCGACTAGGAGGCGTGTAAATATATTATGCGTTCAAGAGACTAAATGGAAGGGTTAGAAGGCGAAGGAGGTGGACAATACAGGTTTCAAGCTTTGGTACACAGGAACAGTTGCGAATAGAAATGGAGTAGGAGTTTTGATTGATAAGAGCCTCAAGAATAGTGTGGTGGGAGTGAGAAGGCAAGGTGATAGGATTATCTTAGTCAAGCTTGTCTTTGGTGATATGGTTTTGAACGTAATTAGTGCGTATGCCCCCCAAGTAGGCCTCGACGAGAGTGCTAAGAGACAGTTTTGGAAAGACTTAGATGGCCTGATTAGAGCTGTACCCAGTAGTGAGAAGCTTTTTATAGGAGGAGATCTTAATGGGCATGTAGGTGCTACAAGCGTAGGTTTCGAGGCAGTTCATGGAGGTTTTGGGTATGGTAGTAGGAATCAGGAGGGGGAGGAAGTTCTGGACTTCGCGGTAGCTTTTGACCTGATGATAGCCAACACTTTCTTTAGAAAGAGAGAATCTCATCTAGTGATCTTCAGTAGTGGACAACACTCTAGCCAGATTGACTTTGTCCTCACAAGAAGAAAGGACAAACGAGCATGCTTGGGTTGCAAGGTGATACCAGGAGAGTGTGTTGTTTCTCAACATAAGATTTTGGTGGCAGACTTTCGTTTTCAGGTGCGTGCCCGTAGGGATAAACAAGCTAAAATTGAAAGAATAAAGTGGTGGAAACTGAAAGGGGAGACGTCAGAGGTATTCAGGGAAAGGGTTATCAAAGAGGGCTCTTGGAAGAGACAAGAGGACATAAACAACATGTGGAAGAAGATGGCAACCAACATTCAGAAGGTGGCCTCAGAGGTGTGTGGAGTAACCAAAGAAAGTGGAGACGAGGCTAAAGATACTTGGTGGTGGAACGAGGAAGTCCAAAGGGCTATTAAGGAGAAGAAAGAGTGCTATAGATGCTTGTACCATGATAGGAGTGTGGACAACATAGAGAAGTACAAGGTGGCAAAGAAGATTGCAAAGCGAGCTGTAAGTGTGGCAAAGGGTAGAGCGTACGAGGATCTTTACCAACGTTTGAGTACGAAGAAAGGAGAGAAGGACATGTATAGGATGGCTAGGGTTCGTGAGAGAAAGACAAGGGACTTCAACCAAGTTAAGTGCATAAAGGATGAAAGGGAGCATCTCTTGGTGAAGGAGGATGAGATCCGACATCGATGGCAAGAGTATTTTGACAAATTATTCAATGGTGAGAATATGGAATAAACCTTTCAATTGGATGACTCTTTTGATGACACCAATAGGCGCTTTATGCGGAGAATCCAAGAATCTAAGGTCAGAGAGGCGTTGAAAAGGACAAGAGGAGGTAAGGCGATGGGACCGGATGGTATCCTAATCGAGGTGTGGAGATGCCTCGGGGATATAGCTATAGTATGGCTAACCAAGCTGTTCAACAATATTTTTCGATCGAACAAGATGCCTGATGAGTGAAGGAGAAGTATATTGGTACCGATCTACAAGAATAAAGGAGATATTCAAAGTTGTACTAATTATCGGGGAATTAAGTTGATGAGCCATACTATGAAGCTATGGGAGAGAGTTATCGAGCATCGCTTGTGAGCAATAACGCGGAAGGTCAACCATGGAAGCCATTTTCTTAATAAGACAAGTTATGGAGCGGTATAGGGTGAAAAAGAAGGACATACACATGATTTTTATTGACTTGGAGAAGGCTTATGATAAAATACCAAGGAATGTTATGTGGTGGGCTTTGGACAAACATAAAGTCCCAACGAAGTACATCGGGCTTATTAAGGACATGTACAACAATGTTGTGACTAGAGTTCGAATAAGTGATGGAGACATGAATGACTTTTCGATTAGGATAGGACTACATCAAGGGTCAGCTTTGAGCCCTTATTTGTTTGCCTTAGTAATGGATGAGGTCACAAGGGACATACAAGGGGGCATTCCTTGGTGTATGCTTTTCGCGGATGATGTAGTGCTAGTTGATGAAAGCCGGACATGAGTGAATTAGAAACTGGAGTTATGGCGGGAGACTTTGGAGTCCAAAGGTTTTAGACTCAGTAGAACTAAAACTGGGTATATGAGATGTGACTTCGGCACTACTATTCGGGAGGAGGAAGATATTAGTTTGGGAGGTCAAGTAGTGCCTAGGCAGGATACCTTTCGATATTTAGGATCAATGCTACAGAGAGACTGGGATATTGATGAAGATGTTAGCCGTAGAATCAAAGCAGAGTGGATGAAGTGGCGGCAAGCATCTGGTGTTCTATGTGACAAAAGGGTACCATAGAAGCTAAAAGGCAAGTTTTATAGGACGGCGATTAGACCTGCTATGTTGTATGGTGTAGAATGTTGGCCTACGAAAAGACGACATGTTCAACAGATAAGTGTCGCGGAAATGCGTATGTTGCGTTGGATTTACGATCATAGAAGAAGGGATCGAGTTCGGAACGATGATATACGTGATAGATTAGGGGGTAGCACCAATTGAAGAAAAGTTTGTCCAACACCGGTTGAGATGGTTTGGGCATGTCCAACGGAGACCTCCTGAGGCACCGGTGCGTAGTGGAATCCTAAGCCATGATAGTAACGTGAAGAGAGGCAGAGGAAGACCGAAGTTGACTTGGGTAGAGGCAATAAAAGGAGACTTGAAAGGATGGAATATACCCAAAGACTTAACCTTAGATAGGAGTGCTTGGAAGACAACTATTCACGTACCTGAACCTTGATTGCTTCTGCTGGGTTTCAATGCTAGCCTACCCCAACTTATTTGGGACTTAAAGGCTTTGTTGTTGTTGTTGTTGTTTTATTCTAATCACAAGAAATTAAGATATTACTGACAGCAATCTATCCAACATAAAATTGATAGCAACTCCTATATATGATAATAAGATACTGCAAAACAAATGGATTGGGTAAATTGGTATGTGATGCAGTCACAGGCTAAAAACAGAGTAGATATTCAAGTGTTGTCTCAATGCAGGATTATCATCATGATCTGATTATACAGCCTTACAGTATATAAGTATAGAAACTCTGGTTTCCACAGGCGCGTGTGTAAGTTTTGCAAAGTGGTGTGGTGTTGTGTGTGTTGTACGGGAACACCCCCCCTTTCTTCTTAATATAATGAAGCGCAGTTCTCCTGTGTTTTCGAAGGGGGAAAATTATAGAGACTCTGCACAGTCAGGTTGATATCCTCAATGTACAAACACTGTGAGGCAACAATCCCCAAATCCCTGTTAATCTTGTTGCAGCTTATGGTCGTCAAAAAACGTTTTCATTGTTATAACCCCCCTCTCCTTGGCCCTAGTAAGAGGGGTCATTGAATGGACCATTTCTTTTCCCTATAATACAAAGATACGCAGCAAGCTATCCTGTGTGTTCAAGAGAGAAAAAAGCTTATATGGTCATAGAAAAAATAATAATTTAGATTACGTCCAAAAAATAATAATTTAGATTGCCTGTTCTGTTGTTTATTTAATTCAACTCAAGCATCATATTTAACTTAACACTGCTTGATGCTAACTATTGGCTAGCCGTATCTAGGGCAACTAATAGATAGGTATGGTTGCGAACATTACCAACTTATGGTAACAAATCAACATCAAAATTTCATGTCTATTTGACCGATAAACACACTTGATAATACAAAGTGTCATATGTGGCATGGCAACAAATCATAGGCCACAATTACGGCAAAAGAATGTGTGCATGAAGGGTGACTGGGTGCATAATCAAGTTTCAGCAAGACACAGTTGTGGCCATAAGGTAAACACAAGTCAAATTGAGAGCTCCATAAATTTGTCAATTTTGAAACTGACGGCAGGAGTGCCTATTCAAAATTAGAGTAAAGTACAACACTATCCTTCACGAAAACACCAACAAGGTAAGCACCAAAACAAGTTAACTATACACAATATTGAAGCAAGTCATCTGCACACAACACCCTCAAGCACAAGCACCTAAAGATCTGGAACAAACAAGGATGAACTTTGTATTATTAACTTCACATGAAAGAGTCTTAGCAACTCAAGTTCTTTACAGAAAATAGGGTAATTCTGTTGTGCTGACAGTACAAATTTCTTGGATTTTCATTTCTCAGTATAATTGGAAAGGTGGAAAAAATAGAGATGAGTTTTGATAGATGGAAAGTGTTTTGAGTCATCCATCACAATGATACA